TAAACAGACCAACATCAATATATGAAAGAGATTAAATGTTTTGATTTCATGTCAATATTGCCAGTCAATACCTTTAGATTGCCCCCCCCACCCCAGGGTAGATGACGTTCTATCATACCCTTCTTGTTCACATCTTTCATTCACTATTGCTGTCAGTCATTCACTACTGCTGTCAGTTAGTCATTCACACTTGCTGTCAGTCAGTCATTCGCTATTGCTGTCAGTCAGTCATTTACTGTTGCTGTCAGTCATTCACTATTGCTGTCAGTCATTCACTACTGCTGTCAGTTAGTCATTCACACTTGCTGTCAGTCAGTCATTCGCTATTGCTGTCAGTCAGTCATTTACTGTTGCTGTCAGTCATTCACTATTGCTGTCAGTCATTCACGATTGCTGTCAATCATTCACTATTGCTGTCAGTCAGTCATTCACTATTGCTGTCATTGACGTGAACTGTCCTAAGCTGCTTCTGTTCTCTGCACTTCACTTTATGTATGCTAAAAATAGTTTGAAATATATATAAATTCAAGGAGATTTTGTTCTAAAAATATTGTAGTGACAGAAAGACAGAATCAGATTGAGGACAAAATAAAAATCGACCTTCAGCTATATTTTTTTAAAGTTATGTTTAATGGTTCCTATTTAAAAACCCAGTCGCATAAATCACATTAGAGTGTGAGCCATTCACACCTTGTCATGAACCACTTGGGGGAGGCAGGGGTAGGGGTTCACCAGGCTCCTTCCTTTGCTCCCTTTAGGCCAAGGAGTTTTCTTACTTTATGCTTTCCATCTTACCTTTGACTTGAGCACCCTGTGGTTTCAAACAGGAGGCTTAAATGGACACCATGTAGGAAGGGCTCTAAAATGCTAAGCTGGTCCCATGGAAACATTTAGGCCAAGCAAGGAAGTGGCCCTACCTCAACTCTGCAAGATACAGGTTTGGCCTGTTTGCATTTGTTGTAAAGTAATGTGATGATTCATAGTTAAAGGTCCATGCTCTGTAACAATGGGAAAGCAGTATAAATGAAGGGCATTGTTTGTGTCTTGTTTATCACTAGAGAGATGACTCAGTAGTTGAAAGCATTTGCCTCTCTCCCAGAGGACCTGGGTTTGGTTGCCAGCTAAACCCGAGTTTTGTATGTGCTTTCAGTGGAAGAGCCTGCCCATGTTTGGCTGGGTATGAAAACTCCTATGATTTCATTGGGGACCAGATGAATTTTCAGATATGTCAAATTTATTTCAAATCCTAGCAGAAGGCCAATAGCAAAGGTGCTCTCATGACCTCCAGTTATAGATATTAAAGCTCACAGCTGCAACAAAAATGGAGACAGAACCCAGCACAGCCACCCACAGCCAGCCCAAGGAGTCCCCTGCCCCTTAGGGACATCCACTGAGATAAAGCCGGTCCTTGACTACACTGTAGAAAGGAATTCCAGGAGGAGCTGGCTTATTACCAGCTCTAAAGAGTAACCACAATATAAAAATTGAATTTTTAAAAATAAGCAGGAACACACGAGCCAATTTCCTTATTAATTTTCCTTATCTTAGAAGAACTTCCCTTTACAGATGAAGTTATAAGGTAGTTTTATAAAGTGTGCTGTTTATGACTTATGATTAGAGAACTGATTCTGATAAACTCAAGGCTCTGAGCATCTGGGCCCTAAGTGTCCACAGCTAGAGTCTAACAACCTTGCTTGGGGTGCCCCTCACAAAGCAAGAGCTGTCTCTGCAGGCAAACCTGTACCATTGTGTTGACGTTTCTTAGAGCCCACCAGATTGCAGAGTGAGCCTATGCTTTCCCGCGTGTCACGTTGGTTTTCTCTGTCCTCCTGTCCTGCCTCACTCCAAGTGACTTCTGCATACATTATCCAGATGACTACTGCCATTCTTGCTTCAAGGCTAGGGTGACCATCTCCTCCCTCTGATGACAGGAAGAAGGGCTTCCACTCACAGCAGCAGTGGCTCAGATGGACCAGCTGGCTCTTCAGCTGGGAGACCCCTATGTGCTTTATTAGATGCATTAAGGGATGGCAGCTACAGGGCTTTTCTTTGCAACTTAAACACTGAGCAAATCCAGACATCCGGGGATGCCGAAATGAAAGGATCTGTCTCCACTTGCGCTGCCATTTGCCAAGTGAATGCTTGTCAGATAGCACTTTCTATATATTTCAAGGAGACAAAGTCTCCCTTAATGTGTTGGCAAAGGCTGTCACAGAGCACTCTGCAATCCATGACTCAAGTGACAGCTCACATTGAGGGCACTGGTTTGCCTTAACAATTGTAAAGTTTTTCTACTTCTCTTCTCTTTTGCATTTCCCCTTTGTACTGCACAATACAAAGGAGATTCTGTTGACATTGATAAGCAGCAAGGCTGACAAATACCACTCTTTGTTGTGATAACCAATATTTGAGGCTCTCTAAGGGGTCTGTCCTTGATAAAGCACCATCAAAAATTCTTTTCTCTATGGGGCTCCTGCCAATCACTTCTAGTTAACTCACTAATTGTGAGTGTCTTCCCTTCCCTTGAGAATAAGCAATTTATGTTCCTGATAACTTATGGGGATTCTCTATTCATTGGACAATGTTACTGAATATAAGAAAATACATTCTTACATATTTTCTCCCCAGGATCCTTATAGCATCATTCATTTATCTGCAATGACTCATCTATTTAGGGAATCTTTCCCTTATTTTTCATTCACTGTTTGGTCTTGCTATTTACAATTCCAAATTATGACAAGCCCTTCCCACCCTTCCATGTGATTGTCACATTTCTGGTTTATAGGCAGACACAGTACGCCGGCAGCTGCCATCAAATGACTCCCCATACGCAGCTTTCTGTGAAGAAAGTCTCTGAGATCAGACAATCTTCTCTAGATTAATTCCAAGTGCAGGCGTGCCGTCCCTCTGTTGTTATCCTGTGAGAATTTTGATGGATCTGTCACAGACTTGCCCACCTCCTTTTCAGACTGCCTCCCAAACAGAACCTCAACTGTGCCTTCGTGAACACACCAGGGAGAAGACAGCCTCCTGGGCATGGAGGATGATGGATCTTATACACACACACACCACACACACACACACACACACACACACACACACACACACACACTCAAACACATACACTCAATCACACACACACACACACACACACACACACACTCACAAATACAGTCACAGTCACACACACACTCACAAACACAAACAGTCACAGTCACACACACACACTCATACACATGCATACACAAACACAGTCACACACACCCACACACACACACACACACACACACACACACACACACACACTCAAACACATACACTCAATCACACACACTCTCACACACACACACAAACATAGTTACACACACACAGACACACACACACTTTGGTATGGATTTCAGATTTCATATCTACTCCTTTGTGTGACTAGGAATTCCGATTAGATTGAGAGTCTGGGATCGTGATAGGTCAGCCCTGGGCTGGAAGGTCTAAGGATGCCACCTGCATTTTAAACTCAAGAAGAGAAAGAACTCCTATACCTACTCAGGGTTAAACTGCTGAGGAAGTGCCACGTTTTGGTTGGAGTTAGAGAAATGCATCAGAATGTCTGTTGAATTCTGAGAGTCTTCTGGAGTTTATCCCCTGGGATTTAAAGGATTAGTTCTTAGAGTGTTCACAGTGAGGGTTTTGTTGGTTTTTTGTTTTTTTGTTTTTTTTTAAAGAAAAAAATAAGTTGCTTTCAGTAAGAATACTCAAGGATTGGGAAGAAAAAAAGTGGTGTGTCTGAGTTCTAGCATGTATAGCTGTTTATAATTATGAATTGAAGTTTACATTGTGTTGTCATTTATATAAGAACAATCCTGTGTCAAATAATAGCAATGATGATGATGATGATGATGATTATGAAGGAGGAGGAGGAGGAGAACTACTGAGGGAAGGCCTTGCATGTTGAGCTCTGTGCATGTACATGTGCATGTACACACCCACACAAACAAGTACACACTTGAGCACACATGCACAAACACACAGCACAACCACCACTAGCACGCTACATACAAAAAACACACAACAAATAAATTATAAAATTTTAATTTATTTATCAATATATATTTTTACTAGCTTAAATAAAGTTCAGTATACATTCTTGTGCTGAAAGTATAAATCAAGACTAAGAGAATAAAAAATATAAGTCAAAGGATTTTTTTAAAGATATAGAACTCGCAACCACGATCCTTGAATAATTTATGTTAGGTTTTGATGCATCCTTAGGTCATCAAGAAGACCATGTGTGGGTTGCATTATTCCCCCAGTCAGAGGTTATATTTGGGATAAGCAAGAGTTGTTTATATAAATCACAAATAAATTGATTGAGCCATCATAGAAGATGGTTCAGTGGCTATCACCAAGCCTGACAAGTGGAGTTCACTCCCTGGGTCCCACATGGTAGAAGAGAGAACCAATTCTTTCTTGTTGTCCCTTGACCTCTATACGCATGCTGCAGCATGTATACATGTGTGGACATGCACACCCACACTCACAAACACTGCATCTTAAACAAAAAAAAATCAATATAAAAAATGAACACACTGAAAGTTTTATTTCATATCAAGAAAAATTAGCTAATTCCTATTAATGTTCCCAATTTTCAATCAAAGAAGTTTATCAGAACAGCAGGAGAAAAGATGCGTATGATTTCTTTGAGGATACCCTACATCAGATGTTGGAAGGTAAACAGAAGGTGTCTAAAACACACACTATATATTAGTCACACAGAAAAGGGCACTGCCGATGCAGTATGTTCACATATGAGCAGAACGACACAGGTAGGAAAGCGCATTGCTGACGCCATGTACACAACAGGTGAGCAGAATGACAAAGGTGGGCATCAGAGCAAGTCTGAATTTACTCACCAATGGCTTGCATTGTATTAGCTTTTGGGGGGGAAATGTTTCCTTCCTCGTGGAACATGTTTTCAGATGGACAATTTTATGTGCTTTTAGGGTGCTGTGATCACACCCACCATGGACCACCCCATGTCAATGCAGCCAACAAACATCGTGGGCCCCCTAACGCAGCAGATGAACCATCTTTCGCTGGGGACAGCAGGAACGGTGAGTGGAGGAGTTTGGTTTTGTTTCCTGGGATTGTGAGAAGGTGGCGTGTGCTGTCCTCAATGGCATTGCTGAGAAGCTGTTCCTCTTGCACACCTTTCAGGTTCCAGAGTGAACAAGCTTGCATTCAAGTTCTGCCCCAGGGAGCACACATTCACATGGGAAAGGTCCTAAGGCATTGCCTTTAGACTTCATGCCCTCCTCATTATGTGGTACAAGGCACCAAGTACACTGAGTGCAATATAGCTCTCTCTGGAAAGAGCCCCTTCTGCCCACAGGTGGAGAAATAGACTTCATGACCATATGCATGGGGCTGCTTCCCTTTCTCCAGCTGTTTACACCCAACCCGTTATTGCCAGCTCTAACTATGAGGAGTATAGAGGACTTTTTATTCATCATCGATGTCTGGAGTAACAGGAAGTCACTGAGAAGTTGGCCCATTTGAGTGCTTTTTATCTTTCCCGGGGCTGCACTGGCATAGTTACTATTGAAGAGGAGGGAGGAATCCCATGCCTTTAGTATTTTCTTAGTTATGAGGTTTTTGACTAGTCTTCTTAAAAGTGTGTTGTTCTCATTTGCTTTTCCATTGCTGTGGTAAAACCAGGACCAAAAGCAACGTGGAGAAGAAAGGGTTTATTTGGTTCACAGGTTATAGTGCATTGTCAAGGAAAGCTAGACCAGGAGCTTAAGGCAGGAACCTGGAGACAGAAATGGAAGCAGAGACCATGGGAGAACAATGCTTACTTACTGACTTGCTCAGCTAACTTTCTTCTATAGCCTGGGTCCAGGTGTCTAGGGACCCAGGGACCACAGTGGGCTGAGTTCTTCCACATTGATTAGGACTTAAGAAAATGTCCTGAAGACAAACTTACAGGCCAGTCTGATGGAGGTATTCTCTCAGTCGGCTTCCTCTTCCCACTTCCCATTGGTGTCAAGTTGACAACCAAGATCAGCCATCACATGAACTGAAAAACTGCCAGTATCAATCTTCAACAACGTGCTTGAACTCACTGGCAAAGCTTTTCTTTCTTTCTTTTTTTTTTTCTTTTTTTGAAAAGGCAGTTCCATCTAATATTCATGTCTGACAAAGGCTAGACACCATTCCTATGCAAGCATCGTGAACCCAGCAATCACACTTTAGTGTTTAGTATACACATCGGTACAGGTGATCTTGTCTTACAGCGAGATCATTCGGTGTGACACATAAGCACCTTAAGCTACATGACTTTTTGTCTTTAAGTCTATGTATCTCTGTGATACTACCTACCTCCGTGACTCTCACAGAGGTACTGTGTGTCACTAGGGATAGATACACTAGCTGTGGATAGATGCCTCAGAACAAATATTCCTGCTACTCAAAGGAAATAGAAAAACATGTTCAGTGATCTTCTCTAAATGTGAAGAAAATCACAGGTTTCTGAGAAAGAATTGAGTTTATTATAAGGTACACACCTGTTCCCCTGTAATGCACCACTGTTGATAACTTCTCTGCCCAAGAGTCAGACCTGGGTCAAAGAATTGTGAGAGGTTCTCAGCTAGATTTCAGAGGTCAGGTCTGTGGTCACATTTAACTTCACCGTGGCTCAGATCATTTTCATCAAGGATATAGAGTTTTGAAGTAATATTTTTACCATTTTTAGTCAAGTGTAAGGATGATATGTAGTCCCTTTGTGTAGTCCTACTAAAGCAGATTCCAGATACAGAATTGGAAGGCCTGGTGCTTATGACATCCCCACTGTTGATGTCACTGCCTATCAGGATTTTGGGCCACCAATGATTGTCAACTGAGAATAAGTGAGGATAAAGGCAACTTTACTCTGTTAAATGACAATGTAAAGTGTGATTTTTATTTGTAAAAAAATGATTTATAATAGAAAACATAGGAAGAAACGCTTTGTACATTTTGCCTGTTTGACTAAAGTCAAAGCCAGCCTCATTGCCAACATTTCTATTTGCCAACTAGTAAAGACACACTGTGTAGCTGGTTCCTCTAAGAAACAGAAAAAACATAGAATATGCTTCAAATTATTGTAGCTACTAATTAAGTAAACAATATAAAATTATATATCTGAGACTTTTCAACAGGAACAGAATCCTATGGCACCACAACTTTTACCTAGCTGGCAATGGCCAGAAATGATAATTCAATGGTTATCCTTTAATTTAACGACGTGGGCCACTGCCTCTCTTAGCTAGTAAAGGATTTTAGTAGATGGAGTTTATTTTTACTACCAATTCCCCTCTTGCTTTTTCTTCTTGCCATTGAGTATTTTCACTCTTGAAATAAATAGTGCTTAGTTACAGTGTAAGCATCATATAAAATTAATCATTGGCAATATACATTAAACAGTGACAGCTTGATAAGGTTTTTGAGAGGCCAAGAGAAGATACCTTATTTTGTTGAGTCATTCAAAAATATAATTGAGTGTGCTTAGTGTATCGAATGTAGTCATTTCTTTTTTGTTAAACAATCACTCTCCTATGTTGGCATGCTATTATATATTTGCTTTTATGTGACTTTTTGATTAGCATTTGCTGTGGATTACTGAGTTAGGGCTGATTTATTTAATTGACTTTTCCCACCTACCTGGATCCATCTCATATCTCTCTTGCTGGCACTTTGAAAAGTCCAGTGGATTTAGCAATGACCTCAGAGTCCTGAGCATGGTTTGGCTCTGAATTAGCTGTGCATGTTTAGACAAGGTTCCTTAGCTTCCTAAGGATTTCACTTCTTTTCTTATAAACTGGGAACAGTAATGACATGCACAACCCTGGGATGCTGTGAGCATTACATGGCACGATGCACAGCTAGTGTAACATGTGGCAAGTTGGACTTGTCAAGTCAAGTGAGCCACCCTTAATCTCCAATGGGGTTTAGCTGGTGGGAGTTCAGGTTGCCAGCATAGATGTACCTCCATATTAAATCCACAGTCCAAGTCCTTTGCTTGCTCTATTTCAAGGGGTTTAGCTTAATTCCTTAACATGTCTACTGTGTTAGCTGCTAGCGTAATATTCCAGGGTTCCAAAGCTAAGCTCCTGTTCATGTGAATGAATGAACTTGATGAAGTTCAAGCCAATACCTTGAATATGTGGAATCAAGTGTTCTTGGTATTTCTGACATTATAAGCAAAATTACATTATGACAATATGCATGGCGTTGAAATAATTTAGAGAGATTTCCACATTAATGCAATGCCTCTGCCTGAGAGTTGGACACCTCATGGGCAGAGGCAGTACTTTCAGTAGCCAGGAGTATGAGAATATTACATAGAAAGTAGGACCATGACCCATTTGCCATCATTCATTGCCCCTTGGGCACACAGACCCAGAATGGACTCACTGTCCAATTCTTTTTAATATAAACTGACTGTATTTTGACATGAAATACCCATGTATTTAGCTATCTGGCCTTGTTTGTCCAGTGACCTCCCAGTTTGTGCCTGGCTTTCTACATCTTGTCTCTGGCCATTCCTCCACCCTTCCTTTTGCAAGCTCAGACAGCACCTCACTTCTCACTCTGCCCATACTTGCCTTGAGCAGTCTGCTCCACCTCATGGTTTCCAACCACATTTCCCACATTGAAGACTCTTAAATCTGGGTCCTCAATGCTAGTCTTAGGACATCAAACTCATCTGTCTGCTCTCCATGGAGATGCCTCTTCAACATCTCAACGTCAGCCCAACCCACAAGCATGTCATGAACTTCCTTGAGCTTCCTTCCAGCCACACCTTTCCCCTCTTCTGTGTTCCTGTCCTGTTTTATTTCAAGTTCCTACTGTGATGACCCACCCAGTAGCCAGACCCCACATGTGGGGCTTGGTACTCACACTGTCCTTCGTTCTCTTCTCCATTCACAGTTACTTTTAAGGTCTCATGAATTGAGTCACACACATTCATCAGATCCATCCTCTCGCCCCCATTTCCACCCTCTATCCCTGGCTTCATTAGGCTCATTGTCACACTCTCCTAACCTCTCCTAACTGGACTTCCTGCTCTCAGCCTCATTGTTCTGCAATCCATTCTCCACCTTGTCATCTAAACTATGTGTTAGTTACTTTATGTTGGAGTGGTAAAACCTCCAAACCAATAGCAACTTATAGAAGGAAGAGTTTGTTTGGCTTAGAGCAAAGAGGGAGTCTATAATGCTAGGGAAGGCACAGCAGCAGGATTCAGGAGCAAGAGTCAGTCTTGCTTGCACAGTCTCTCAGGAAGCTCAGAGAGAGAACAAGTAGTGTGTTGAAGCTGTAAGTGCTCAGTGACTACCCTCAGTGACTTCATCCTCCAGCAAGGTTCTGTGTCTGACAGTTCCAAAACTTCCTCAAACAGCATCACCAACTGGGAACCACATGTTCAAATTTATGAGTCTATGGGAGACATTTATCATGCAACCCTACATAGCTCTATACCAGTGTCTTTTTCCCACCTGCCAGTCTTCAGTGACTTTCAGAAATCTGAGCTCTTGGAAATTTTTGCAAAACAAACAACAACAAAAAGCCCAGGAGCAGATAGGCTCCTAGGACATATTGCAGTGAAATTTGGGGGATAATTCAGTGTAGTAGTGGCCAAGCGGGAGAGCTAGAGTAGAATTTTCCTTTTTTAGAAGGTGCTAAGGCCACTAAGTGCCCCACTTTCCTTTTTAAAATTCTTGACAAAAGGAATTATATTGAACCAAAGCATGCTTTTATCTTCAAAAAGGAAGGTATATTTCATCTCTTATCACCTCAGATTTTGAAATGGGTATCATGTAGTTTAAAGAATTTCCATCTGGAATTTTCCTCTTCGAAGTATGTCAGTCGATTCTCTATCTATTTCTAAGCTAACTGAATCTATGGGGCTTCAAGCTAAATGAATTTGATGCAAACAAGGGGCCTATTTCATTTCATGGCTCTAAACTTGAAGGACTTTTCTGGCTTTTTCTGAATTTGTTTATTCTTCTCACAGAATTCCTCCGATGAAACAAAGCTCCATTATCCATAATTTCTTATCAAGTTCCTGGGAGCTTTAACGAAGCCCCCGGGGGACGTGAGCGTGTTCTCAGAGCCTCGACAGTGCATGACAATCTTGTTTTACAAGTTTCTTATCTCCTTTTTATTTGTTCAGCGGTTGGTCACCAGTGGCTTACAAGGCCACCAGGCTTTGTTGAGAGAAATAAAAAGATTTTGTTCTGCAGACTTCTTATCTGCAGTTCAGTTTGCCTTCCCCAAGACACTGCAGAATGGTGGCATCATTGGATTTCCATGGTGTAATTATCGACACTCACAAAAACAATCCTGGAATTGTAGCTCTGACCGGCCAGAGTTCACTGTCAGCCTTCAGGCATCCCACTTCCCGCTGCTCTAAAAACCTGATCATTGCCAGGTGAAAATACGTGTTGTTTGCCTTTTTTTCCATCATCAGGCATAAATATCAGTATTAAGATGGAGAATTATAAAAGTGATCAAAAGACCTTAAGCGGAATCATGACTCAGTAAATAACATCCTAAGCAGTAAATAGCTTCATGAATCCTGATGGCTGCAATTCCTTAAGTGAGCTCTCAAGAGAAAAATAGCAGCCAATTCCAAACTAATAAAGACAGAAAATTTAGATGCAAAGGTTATAGTTTTAAATAGTTCTTTAATCTTATTGTAATATAACATCTCCTTGCATGAAGAGTTTTCCATGTGAATAACGAATGGGGAGATAGTGGCAAGTCTGTTGGGCGACAGGGTTATTTACAAATATTAAATCTTTACTTCTTACCATATGGATCTTGAGTTCAAGTAAATTATTATCATTGCAGAAAGGTCCTAATACAGACAATGCCAGGGAACACGAGTGAGCTGGAAATAAAACAGGGTATAGAAAAGTGAATAATATAATTAAAAATTGTCATTGATATAATTTAAAAACCACACACACACACACACACACACACACACACACACACACACACACACGATAAACAACCAATGCATTGTTTATGAAGGTGGAAGGAAATAAGCATTGACGGTGCCCTCAAGCTGTACATCATTGGTAAGGAGAGCAAAGTGCCCAGATCGGGCACTTCAAAATAATTAAGGGGAATAATTAAATAAACAATGATTCATCCATAGGCCCAAGTATAACACAGTGGGAGATCACAGGAGTTTCAGATATGTGGGGTAAGTATTGTTGATAATGATGAGTCAAAAGAGAAGTCTGTGAGCTCACACATGTGCAGCACAGAATAACCGTGAGGGGTTACTTTTGAAATAATTCTATTAAGAAATATAAAGCTGGGGGTGGAGTTGGGTAGGCCACTCAACAGTTAAGAGCACTTGCTGCAATTCAGAAGACCTGAGTTCAGTTCGCAGAACCCATATGGAGTGGTTCACAACTGCCTGTAACTACAGCTCTAGGGAATACAGTGCCCTCTTCTGGTATCCATAGGCACTGCACACAGGTGCACATACACACAGAATAAAAGTAAATTTGATTTTAAAAGTATTACAAAACAAGCATGTTTTTGGAAATAAGATTGAAGTCATTTCTATTTAATCATTTTATTTGTTTATATTCTTCAACTACTAAACAGTAGCTATCACTTGCTATATTAGCATCTATGTTTCTGTTTATCTTATAGTTGCAGATATGCATATATTATGATATGGTACAAAAATTAACTCATTTTTTCTCAATCTTTGGATAGTAACCTGAAGTTATACATTTTATGAGAAGGTAACTAGGAATTAAAATCAGTATTATTAAAACCTTTTAAATTGTTTTCAAATTGGTTCTGCTTCAGAGTAGGGCTGATAGCCAAGTCACTACATTGCTTACCTATTTCAAAACACCAGACCACTCATAACTGTGGCTCATTTGCATTTGAATTCTGAGCAGTGCTTGCTTGTTCTTAGTGCCCTAAGTGCTTTACAAGGTTCACAGTCCTCCTCAGACATGCAATTTCCTCAAGAAAATGAACAGCATTAAGCTAGGAGGCAAATTCGTGAATGGTCTCAAAAGTTATTAAGTGGATAGAAATATAGATTTATGGGTTTAAGCTTTGAAAGTGCAATGCAGGTCATAGGAATGAAATAAGAGCTCACATAGGACCATCTATGCCTTAATCTTTTAGAGCCTTGGGAAAGGGCTTATTGTTTTCAGTTTTTAGAAGACTAATTATAACCATAGGCTAAGTACCAGCTTCTCTTTTAAGATCCCTGGCTAGGAGCTACTTAGGAATGGAGAGAGGACTAGGAGGGCACAAGATAGGGAACAAAACAGGACTATAAGGTGGGGGGTGTATGTGACAAAATTATTATGTGCATGTGTGAAAATGTAATAAAGTCATTATTGTGTATGATCACTATATCCTAATAAGAACATTACAGAAAAGATTGTGAAGGAGTTGCATGAGTTAAAACTCCTTTGTCATTTTTAATACAGCTGATATATTTGCCCCCCACACCTTGTAGCTTAACTTTCTAGATTTTACTACCTCCTATGTTACGACATTTTAAAAATGCCATCCTTCCTCTGTTCCAAGAGATCTAGGCATGGTGGCTGCACACAAGGTTCCTAGGCCTGGGCAGAGAGTGCTCTGTGCTCTGCCCTTGCTTCGGATAATTAAAAGATAATAACAACTTGGGCTTTATAACACTTGGGTTATATAATCCATACACTATAAGAACATGCAGATTTTTTTCATTAATGTCCTTCAAAGTTATTTCTTTTGTTCTCCATCCCTACCACACTTTGGGTACCCTCTAGATGGACTACCTTATAAAACTCATACATCTTGGGAGGACAAGAACCTCTCACTGATTCTCAAAGGCAGAGATCAAATAGACCAAGAGGGGAGGGAGATGGTGATGTTCTGAGAACAACTGGTCCTGGTAGCATGTAGAAAATGGAGACTAACTATCAACTGTCCACTAGGGTCATGATGCCCTGAGTGCTTGAAGAAAAGGGGGTGGGGCAGATGACTGTGTGATGCACATTGGGCCCTTCCAACTTTTAAAGCTAAGATTCTGTTTTTATTTTCCTTTGGACTTCATTGCATTCTTTCTCATGCTCTTTTCATTCCAAGATTCAATCCCAAGACAGAATTATGGTACTTCACCAGCTGTTGTGTCAGGTAGGAAAATTCTAATTCCTTTCAGACTTAATTGGAGGGGGAGAGATGGATCTTGCCTGGTTTTCTCCAAAGCTCTTCAAAGCAGTGATTCTCAATAGGGGAGGGTATAAGAAGTTTGCATTCCCTTTTGCCAAGGGGAGGGACATGTAGTTATAAGTCTATTACAATAACAATCTGACTTTATGTCTGGAAAATAAATATACTGTCTTTAAAATGAAAAGTAAGATCTCAAAGAGACACTTTGTCCTGAAAGATATGCAGAAGATTTCATTATACGTTCTGTGTATCAATGGGTCTCACTGTTCAACAAGGTTGCCAGAACTGCTGAAGAGTGGAAGGAAGATTTTACTTTTATCAAAAAAAAAAGATCATGTGTTATAAAAGGAGATGGAGAAGCACTGCCATGGAGAGCAGATTCCCTCTGAAGTCACAAAGTTGTCCCCTGTGCTCGCTTGGCTCCCAGGACAGGGTCTGAGATGTACACACAAATCATTTGTTGAATGAATCAAAACTTTAATTTTTTTCAGGGTGTTATATTTGGGATATCAAAAGTGACACTTGTGATATTCCATTTCACAGCAAGGTAGCAGAGGTGGCCTTGAGGATCCATGAGGCTCTTTGGCATTTAATTAGCAATATTTAATTTTGTTGTATAAAATTTAATGGTACAATTTGTAGCTGAGTATATGTGTGTAAAGAAGTTGGTGCTTTAAAAAAAAAAAAAAAAACAACTCTGAACTGCGTAGATACTGTGCTTTCATCCTAACTTTCACTTTTGGTTTGTTGCAAAGAGAAAAATGGACACAACTATTAATTTTTGTTAATTTATTTTAACTGAAGAGTGGTATGAAGCATGGGGAGCTTGGAACTCTTTGAGCCTTTGGCTTATTAGCTGGTTAAAATATTCACGTGGAGCTAAGATGGTCATTGGAAAGAGTACATGAAACATAGTTCAGGAAGTGTCCAAAGAGCCCCGAGGCAGTTGAATCTGGCAGTCAGCAAACAGCTTTCAGTGGAGAGCATCCCACACAAGGCCACTGCACTTCTGTGACACAGTTCCTGAAGAGTAGCTCTTCCTCCTGTCCTGTGGATGTCTTTGGTTATGCCTGTGGCTATGCATTCATCTCAAAGTCATATGAATGCCATCATTGAAGAACAAAGAGTGGGCTTTCAACTGGACATCACTTTGGTCCTCTTGTTCTCCATGGATTGCCATTCATTAAAATGTCATGTGCCTGTATTCCCCCTCTCCCATGTATGACCTATCATATTTTAATGTTTCTTTTGTGTTTAAAACATGTGACACTATAGAGGCGACTTAGTTTGGTATGTATAGCTTTTACTTTCTTTAACCTTTGGCCTCTTTGACAGCAGGCTTATGCTCCTCACAGTTAGCTAACATGAATAGTAGCAAATAATCCCTCAACCAAACATTCTTTCACCTTTAAGAACATAGTGAATGCTGGGTATGGTGGTGCACACCCTTAATCCAAGAATCCAAAAGGCAGAGGTAGGCAAATCTCTACAAATTCAGGGACAGTCTGGTCTACATGATGAGTTCTAGGAATCTATATGATGAGACCGTGGTGAGTGAGTGTGTGTGTGTGTGTGTGTGTGTGTGTGTGTGTGTGTGTGTGTGTGTGACAGTTGATATAGCAAGATATTAACACACACATACACACACATATCGCAATGAAAATTGTAAGCCACTTGTCAGAGTTATTTACTTTATGATCATGGATCCCCACTATACAAACCATCTTAGCAAGAAACAGTACTTAACTTCAGGAGTTCCCATCTGATTCCATGGAAACTCTCAAGTAGATACATGACTTAAACATAATACTCTACAAAACTTAAGCATATGAATGCATGTTTGTGGAATAAGAAATAAAACCACGGAGGAAAATTAAAATCCAAGATATGGAGCTTGTAAATGGAATCAGTCACTGGATGCTTGCAGGAGGCTCTTAGTTCAATCCCATAGAATCCACAGAAAAAATCCAGACACACAGTAATGCCAGCACTGGGGAGCCAGAGACCAGCCAATCTAGCCTAATAGCTGAGTCCCAGACCAATGAAATACCCAACCTTAACAAAAAATGTGGATGGTTCTGGAGAGATGACACCAAAGTTCCTCTCCCTACCCCCACATGCATGTGCATACATACATATCTGTACCTGCACACATGGGCACACATACAAACATGTGACTCACACACACACACACACCAAAAAAAAAAAAAAACCCAATATGACATGTGGTCAATAAAAGATATATTATGTTGCCAGTAGTTGAGTACAAAGGAAGGGACCAATAGAACATTGTAATGGAAAACCACATTATGGACCATTTTACACTTATTTCTCCTTATAAGATTTGGACACTGGGCCTGGCATTGGTGGTGCACGCCTTTAATCCCAGAACTCGGGAGGCAGAGGCAGGCAGATCTCTGTGAGTTCTAGGCCAGCCTGGTCTCCAGAGTGAGTGCCAGGATAGGCTCCAAAGCTACACAGAGAAACCCTGTCTCGAAAAACCAAAAAAAAAAAAAAAAACAAGATTTGGATTGGCCATATTGCATGGTTGTGCTCTCCTTTAGGCTTATTTCTGAATAGCAATAGATATGTTTTCTAAGATGGCTGCTTACTGGCTTGTAAACAATTTCATTGACTTTTGAACACTTGTATATCTTTTATCCAACTATTGACCATATTGGGAAAGCAAACTGAGCCTGATGAGGTAATAAATCTTCCCCAAATATCCCAATGTGCCAATATCAAGTGATTTAGATAATCAGCTTCTGCTAATATATGAGCCAATCAAATTGTTCTAATATATTGGAGCTTAAGATGGTAACTTAGTTATCTATGGAAATATAATCTATTCTGTTTTTAGTCAACCAGTATTTTAAACATTACCAAACTATTTCTAAGTACTATGCTAAGTGTTGAAGATGTAAATATAACTAGAAAGTCCATCCTTATTTAAAAAAAAATATCGGCATCATAGCTCAATTTGATTTTGCTGTTTCTTGTAATGTTATTTGTGATGATATAAATGTTATAAAGAATCAAGAATACAGAAAGAAGATTTGTGATACAGAGGAACAGAGTGAATTTGGAGAAGGATCGGTCTGGCTGAATAGGAGTTAACCAGCTAGAATACAGTGGGTAGGTCTACTAGGCAATAGTGCAGGATGTGTCAGCTCTTAGAATGGGAACAGTTTGAAGGACTTGAATGACAATAAGTCCTTTCAGATTGGAGAACAAACTAGGACTTTGACATATATCAAAGCTAGGTCTGTGTGTAAGGACTCTTGGTTCTTTCAGTCATGTATCATCTTGGTCTTTTATTTATTTAATCTCTGTTGGTAGCATACTATGTGCTAACTTGTGGTCAGTATTATTCTTTTGCTTAAATTAGAAATTCGAGAGAGAAATGGACTATAGAGAGCACATTAACCAGTTTATTATAGGACAGAAGAGTGAGGGGGTGAGCGAGAAATGGAAGAGCAGAGCAGAGCAGAGCAGAAAGAGAGGAGAGAGAAGACGACCATCAAAAACAGAGAGAGAGAGGAGAACACTGCTGAGGGTTTAAAAAGGGGAACTCCTGCATGCATGCGCAGAGTCCCAGTATGAGTGTCATGGCACTGTGCATGCCACACCCATTGTCAGGGGAGGGGTCTGTCTCTTAAAGAGGTAGAGCAGGTCAGCATTAATGCTGAACCTTTCAGTCAGTGCTGGGACTAGAAGTCATTAGGAAAGAAAGACATTAGTTATGAACATTTTATTTCAACAATGTAAATGTTCTATTATTAATTTTTCAATTCACCAAAAAAATGTCCCAGTTCTGAAGCAACTTGTGTCATTTTCAGTTGTGAACACTTGGGGGAAATTACTGAACTTTCTGTAGTTCATTATTTCTCTGGGGAAATACTAACCACATAAGGTAGTTGTAAGCACTGATTAAATTAGGCCGTATACTCCACTTAGAACAGATTCTGGCATAAACTAGTGTTTAAATAGTGTTCACTACAGCCACACTAATCATTATTGGCACAATATATTATGTTGGTACAAGAAGGAACAATGGACATAAACTAGCAGAGGTCAGAGAAAGTCCCCAGGGAAAGAATCCTCTAAATGCAGAAACAAAGACACATGGGAATTACTTAAGTAAAAAAACAGAGCTGAGAGTTTCAGACCAAGAAAGCAGCTTGTGCAAAGGCTTCTAAAGGAAGATGATGGAAAGATTGGGGGACTAAAGATTGGTTAGCAGGACAACTTGTGTAGAGAGATGGGGAGTGGGGAACTTAGCCCAAAAAAGTAGGTCAGCTGTAGCAGTATCCTCAGGTATGGTAACTGAGCTCTATGCTGATGGGGATGACATAATCCCTGTGCTTATAGGATGGAGAATATCCAGGGATCAGGCAAAACAGAAACAGGCAAATGCACTGAAGAATCTAAGAAAGAAATCATGGTGGCAAGTTGTTACGATAAATCTTTCCGCCAAAAGCCGCCAGGCCCCACTGCCACAGGTGTGCTTTACACCAGCCGCCTGCCCGAGTTAGGGCCCAAATGAATACACAGAAACTTGTATTAGGTACAATGCTGTTTGGCCAATGACTAGGATTCTCATCTGCTAGCTCAGTCTTAATTATCATAAATCTATATATTTTATAAGACTTATCTTATCGGACGCCTTATTGGCATCCCTCCTTGTCGGGGGATCACATTGTGCCACTGGAACAGGAGTGGAGGGGAAAAGAGAGGCCCTTCCTGGTTCTCCCTCGCTTAAATATGAGTCTCCTTGCTATGTCACTTCCTGCCTGGATCACCACTTCTCTATTACATTTCCCAGAATCCTCATTGACTTCTAGTCCCGTCTAACTTGTTGTCTCATTGGCCAAACAGTATTTTATTTAACAATCAATAAGATAAACATATACAATACATTCCCCATCAGCAAGTAGTCACATTCTGGAAATGGCCATGACATT